ACTTACTAGTTTGGCTTTTTTAGATTCCACATAAAATTGATATTATACAGTATTTATCTTTCTGTCTTATGTATCTCAGTTAGCATAATGTGCTCAAGATCCATCCATGTTGTCAGAAATGGCAGAATTATCTTCTTTCCTCACAGCTGAATTATCTCTTGTGTATATATACCACATATTTCTTACCCATTCATTTATTAAAGGGCTTTGCATAGTCTCCATATCTTGGTTACAGTAAATAATGCTGTAGTACACATAGGAGTGCATGTATCTCTGAAAACTTTTTTATTTCCTTTGAGTGGATACCCAGAAGTGAGTGGAATTGCTGGTTTGACTCAGCTTACTGCATTTTTGGTACTTGCTCTACAACTGAAAGCTATTTGTGTCTTCCTTTTTTATTAGATCAAGTTGATCCTTGCTCTGCAACTGATCAGTTGTATAACTGTATTCAAGTTATTTAACCTCCTCATGCTCAATTTTCTCATTAAAATAGGACAAATAAGCTATTGTAGAGTATGTGGACTTAGAGGAGTAATTAACATAATAACTGTAGTCCTTAGAACTGTGCCTAGTACTATGTCATTTGAAATCTTGTTTCCCAAATTGGCTGACCTTGTGGTTTCACAGAATGTGTGCTGCTCTCTTATTCTTCTAGATCTTTACACATGCTAGTCTTTATTCTCTTAGTGCCAGTCATAGGACCAGAAACCAACCATACAACATCTATGTATTCCAGCATTGGTGGTTATTCATAATAATAGGTATCATTAAGAAAAGGGCCAAAAATAATAGGAAAAAACCTCAGATAAGTGGAAATATTGACTGTGTACCGTATCTCATTGTTTAGGAGTTCATGATAATCAAGTTTTAGTAAAAATATGTCTAACTTTGGTTTGTCTTGATCTTTTCCCTAATATACGTCTGATATAGTTTTTGTATCATTCTTTTAAGGCCTAAATCACAACTTTTCCACTTTCTATTCTCTTGATTTTCTTCTTGAATTTTTTTCTAATAGGGATTTAATTCTCTGTGATTCAGGATTCAAAGGGCATACAGTGAAAATTTTCCTTCTCATCTTTCAGCAACAGTGAACTAGTTAAACCTTCCTTGGTGTGGCAGTTAGTGTTACTTCTTTTTTGTGTATTCCTCCTAAAGTATTCATGTTATACTACATATACTGTCATGCCCCTTCCTTTTTTAAAAATAGCATATAATGGAAGATCATTTGATAGTTATATATAAAGAACTTTGAATTTTTTCCTGAAACAAATTTTAAGTTGAGACAACTTATACTGTATATTCGAAACTGTAAGATTACAGATGACTTTTCCCCTCTGCATATACCTGTGTTACTGTCACCCAGATTAAGATAGAGAACATTTTCAACATCCCAAGGGGCTCTCTTGTACTTCATCTTAGTCGATACAACTGCTCTCCTCAAAGGTAGTTGCTTCTCAGAGAGCTTCCTCACCTGTTTTTTTAAGCATAACATAAAGTTATTTGAATTATTTTATATCTGACATTTGCTCATTATTGCTTCTGTAGGGTTTATCCTCCTTGGTGTGTGGCATTTGTTTATTTTCCATTTTTGGGTAGTATTCCATTGTATGATATGACAAATTTATTTTTTCATGTTTCTATTAATAGAAATTTGGGTTCTCTACAGTTTGAATACGTGATACTGTTGTGAACATTATTGTACATATTTTTGGTTGGACATATACAGTTATTTTCCTGTGAAATGGGTGGATAATGGGATATATATATGCACTTAGCTTTTGTAAATACCGCTAAACATTTTTTTCAAAAGAATTGAACCAGTTAAAACTTAACATTAATGAGAATTTCAGTTGCTTTACATCCTAGCCATCACTATTGGCAATCTTTTTCTAAAAATTTCAAGGAGCTTTTTTTCCTTTTAAATTCGGGTATAAATAACATGGTGTAAAATGCAGGGATCTTATGTATTCAGTTTGAATTCTGAAAATTGTATAAACCTGCTCCAAGCAAGATATATGTAGTCCATTACTCAGTAAACTTCTTGAGTGGCCCTTTCTAGTCAGTCCCTTACCCTCTCACCTGTTGCCTCACCAAACCAAACCAAACCACTTTTCTGATTCTTCTAGCATAGATTCATTTTGTCTGTTCTTCGCATTTATGTAAATGGAATTCTGTCTCCGTGCTCTTTCATTTATAGTTTTTGAAATTCACCCATATTTTTACAGGATCTGGATGCTGGGTATACTGGTTTGCTACTGGGGTGTCATTGCTTCTAGAATGTTCAGTGGACAAAACTAGGAAAATATATTAGGAAAAAAATACACATATCACCAATTCAAAGCTCTTACCATAGGATTCTTCCTTATTTCCTTCATTCTGTATTTCATACTCTTCTCTTTCAGTGAATATACCAAATCTTATCAAAAGAGCTTGTATTTAAATAATTTTAAAGTAATTGTCTATTTATGGAAAATATAACTTGAGAAGTAAGTACAATACTACTATTACAGCATTATCACTTAACATATTTATAGTAATATAAGATTCTTAAAGTAATACGTAGAATAGGTTCTTGAACTAAAATACAGTTTTAATTTTTTTAAGTAAACAAATTTGTAGGTTGAATCTTTGTATTTTTCCTAATTTGTAAAGGTGAGTACCTTGGATTTCAGTTAAAATTCAGATAATAAGACTCTTAATTTTTATTTGGAAGAAATTTTGTTCTAGTTTTATTTTATCCTTAAGTTAGAAGACATTTATTTTTGAGAGGCACATATCCTAAGTGGCTAAGAATTGTAGTGGTGGATAATGATTTGAGTCCTGGTATTGCCTCATACTAAGTCTATGATCTTTATCAAGTTACTTTGTTTCTTTAAGCCTCAGTTTCCTCATCTATGAAATGTACCTTATACTTACAGGGTATTATGAGGAATCTGTGTATGTATGTTCTTATTATTCAACAATGGTGGTAGTTATTAAAATAAATACAATGCCTATGTTTTATTTAGTTATATTAAGGGAAGACAAAAAGAAATATGAGAAGAAAAAATTGACAATAAAAATTATAGTAAAAATCATTTGCTTCTAATTGATGCAGTAATCTTTGACTATTCTAATTGTGAAAACCAGATTATCTGCTACGTGTTAAATCGGGGTATTTGTTACTTTACAGGGGCAGATGATTTTAAAATTTGTTCTATTCTAAGTAGTTCATGGATATTTTTAGAAACATTAACTAATACTGTATGCTGATTTTAGACTTTAAAATTTTTTAGGTTATTAGAAGTGTAGGATGTACAATTAAAATTTTTTGAATGAAAGTTAATAGCTCAAAATTCCTATTTATAGGCACTGAAAGATAGCACAGAAGTGGAAATTGTGGATGAGAAAATGAGAAAAAAGGTAGAACCCGAAAAATGGCCAATTCCGGGCCCTCCTCCACGTAGTGTGCCACAAACAGACTTCTCTCAACTGATTGATTGCCCAGAGTTTGTACCAGGTCAAGCCTTTTGTTCACATACAGGTAACAGCTTTTCTTCTAAAGCAAACAGCCTAACAGTGGACTATTTAGTCCAGTTTACTCAGCCTTTTAAAAGTTTATTCAGATTCAATAGGAAAATCAAAGATAACTCAGTGGCTTTTGATGCTTTAAATTCTATTTGTATTGCCTTCCATAGAGAGCTATAAATTAAATAGGGATTTAACAGTTATGGGTGGAGCTCTGTTCTATTTATGCTTAAATTATTTGTGTACTTTGTCATGTGTAGATTTTCTACCTATCTTCTCTTAATTTTAATGATCATAGATATCTTGTGCCAGTTTTCTCCTTATAAGATTGGAATAATTTAGAAGTTTAATATTCAAGAATGGGGGTAATTTTCCTTTAATTTTTTACCAAAATGCTTCAACCTTGTCTTGAAAAGACAAGATGACCTATATACTAATGCAGAATTGGGGATCTCTTATGAAGTTATTGTAATTACATGTGTAATAATTGGTGGTATTTAGACTTTCCAAAAATTGTTTTAATGTTAAGAACTTTTTTCCTGGATCATTTTTAAGACATTCCCTCTTGGGAAAAAATATGTGTGCTTAAACTTTTTTCAGTCAGGGTGATGATCTGCTGATGCTCTTGGATGTCATTTGATCGGAATATGCAGAGGAATTAGGTGACTCACTGAAATATCATTATAAATATTGGAACAAATCGTGCTGCAGAAATGGAAGCGACCAGACTTCTGTGCAAGAATGTCTACTCCCAACTCCTTGTGGAGGAGGTTGGGCCAACACTACAATGGAGATAAACACCTTTGTGATGATGAGAGACCAGAGGACTACTGTTGTTTTTATAGGAGCCGCCCATTTGTGTGTAATTAGCATGGGCTGCATGTGCTACTTTTATTCATGGTGGGAAAGTTAATTATCATTCTGAAAATATTGCAAGAGTCTGTCTTTTCCTTCCAGACTTATGTACTTGTGTCCAGATCAATAAAGCAGAAAGAGGCTTGAGTGGAATTTCCTAGATTGTTAGGTCCTTTGATATTTGATTTGCCCTTCAGTATAGTGTACATTGTATAACTCATATGTTGTCATAATATTTCACATGGACTATAAGATTTATTAACGTGGACACTAAGGGCAAAGAAACTTAAGAAATGAAAGAGAGTATTTTTTTTAACTCTTCAAAGTATTTTTGATACACCAGTCTAGAGGCCTGCCATCAATAAAGCACTGATAGACAGTCTCAGATATTTTTATTTAGTGTTTCTTTGATTGTCAGCCCTCTGTGCCTCTAAACCTAACAAGCAACTTGGGCAGGTGTTTTAAAAGTTGAAGAACTTCAAGTGACATTTTTTTAGGTTTTTAAAAGAGGAATATAATATCTGATTGTATACATTAGATTAATTTATTGTGTAAACATGGGGTCCAAGATGATATTTTTAACCTTCTTATGAACAGGCATTAGGTGAGTTTGATAAATAGAAAATACTTTCTCCAAAGTTTAACTAAGATAGGTCAGTCAGGTTGGTAATGCCTGTCCATGAACCATTTATGCATTGTTAATAAAATTACAAGAATAAAATCACAATGTTTGTATATGTTTGTGTTTTTTAATATACACTCATTTGTATACACATGCATACTGCCTGAAACAAGTCAACGTATATTTAAATGTCAGTTTTTAAGTTCCTTAGATCATACATAAGAAACTAGATGGATAATGAAGACATGTAGAAAGATGGAGTGTTCTTAGAACTAATACTGATTCGCATTACATCATAGGAATAAATATATGCAAACTCAGCTTTTCCCCATGAATCTCCACATTTCTGACCTTAATAATTCCTCAGATAAGAAAGCCTTAGTTTCCTAAATGCAATAGAAAGTAATATGTCACCAAAACTTTGAGATGTAAATAAGGGATTGTATGATTGCATTTATCTGTACCCATGGGTAGAGAAAAGCAGTGAAACTTTTATCTATATTTTTATCTCAAATGAGAAGACCTTAAATTTTTTAAACATAGCCCTTAATGTGTACTTCCTGAAGGCTTTGTATAATAAAATTAATTGGACCTTTTCTCCAAAAGAATTACAGTTTCTGTTTTTCCCTCTAAAGAGTTTGAATTGTCTAACATGACTTGGCCTTTGCACTGAACAGGGGACCTTAATGCACTAGAAATTGTTGATACGAGAAAGGTAAAATGTTAGAACTGAAATTTAGGTTTTGCAGTTCTAGTGATACAATATTGCACTATCAACTCTTAGGTAAAAGAATTTCACTTAACCAGAATTGAAAGGTCAGTTACCTGACAGTCTTGTTTTTGTTTTTGTTTTTGGCTTTCTTAAAATGTAGGAGGATTCCCTAATGATTATTGAATAAGCTTTAGGATTTCTTTTGAACATTGATATCCAGAAGTATTCTTGAATGTGCCTCACATAAAATACACTTTTAACACACTCTATATAATTAACCAGAGCTGTGATTCAAGACGGATTTTAAAAAGTCATACTAGATGCGTGTCATGAAATATATATGGTGATTTATCTCTGGAGAGTCATGTGGACAATTTGCAATTAATGAAATCAGCAAAGAAAAATCCTTTTTTCTAGGTTCTCCCAAATTAGAATCTGTAAGTGTCATAGTATGTGTCTAATTTTTGTCTATAAGTTTATAATGTCAAGTAATCAGTCATACTCAAACTCACTTGGTCTTGGAAGATTAGGGCTTTACCATTACTGTTGAAATTTACATGCATATATTTCAAAATCTTTGTAAGAGAAAAGGCAGGTACAGAAAATCACATAAAGCATATGTGTATAAGGTGAACACTCTTTAAAAACTCTTAAGACTTCTGAATTTTCTTGTCTTACCCAAATTCTTTGGTATTTTGATGTCATTTAATTTATAAGTACATGTGTTGTAAAATGTAGTGAAACACTTGACTCCATGGTAGAAACATTCAACTTTAAATAGCATTTAGGGATGATTATATCATGAACTTAAGTAGGTGCTTAAAGATTAAATTTCTATGTTGAAAACAATAAATACTAATTTCCCTGACTTGTGCCAGGTGCTGTTCTAATCATATATACATGAAATATGCATACTAATTCACCTGGTTACTAGGGTGGTGGTTCTTAGTCTACTTTTAAAGCTTTATTCACTGCATGATATACGACATTCATAATATTAGGAATAAGGTTCTCTGGAGTTAATGTTTTTCCCATTCCTGTAACTTTAATATCAATACTGACAGCCCAAACCTAGTATTTCACTCATACTACTTTTGTGGGTCAATTGATGGCATGTACCATTAAGTTGTGGAGCAGCAATGTCCAAAAGAAATGTGTTTGCCACACACAGAATCCTTATAATTTTTAAATCCTTAAAAGCTATAGAACAAATGAAATTAGTTTTAATGTATCTAATTTTTATAAAATTATTATGATAATTGTTTTTGGGGGGTTTTTTTGTACCAAGTCTTTGAAATCTGACATGTATTTTAACTTATCCTGAGCACATTTCAGGGCTAGCCACATTTCGAGTGCTGGGTAGCTCCACATGACTACTGTCTACTGTACTGAACAGTGTAGTTTTAGAGCCTTTTCTGTTAGGAAACAATATAATTTGTTTTAAAGTAATAAAGTAGTCTGGTGTTTGAATCCTGGGTCTGTGTGTCCATGGAGAAGATAATCCGTCTGATTCTAACATGTAGTTGATGAAAGTAAAATCTTGGAATAGTCTACTCAAACTACTAGAATGTGCCTCTGTGTTTTCATTTAGTAAATTGAAAGGATAGTTCATTTATTTCAGCTTTCTCTATGTAATATTCAACTTTGCAGTATTTTCAAGGAATTGGCTTTGAGGAGTAAATAGTGTTTAGAATTTTACAGTATAAATTTGTTTTTAAAACACTTTTTGTCCAAAGCAAATCCATATTGCATTATAGCTTGAATATTCTTTGACTTTTGAAAAAATTTTATAAAGGGATTGACTTGGGCTTTATTTACAGAGCATATAATTACTTTGATTAAAAGATAGTATAGAGAAAGCCTTTTTTTAAGAACATTTTTTATTGAGTTATAGTCATTTTACAATGTTGTGTCAATTTCCAGTGTAGAGCACAGTTTTTCAGTTATACATGAACATGGTATTCATTGTTGCATTTTTTTCACTGTGAGCTATCACAAAATCTTGTATATATTTCCCTGTGCTATACAGTATAATCTTATTTATCTATTCCACATAAGCCTGTCAATATCTACAAATTTTGAGAAAAGCATTTTTAATTCCAGCAGAGTTGTAAAATATTTTAAATGTGTTTGCCAGGCCAGTGTACTTTAATGATGTGACATTCCTCTCTTTACATACTAACTAAGGGGCACAGTGCATTTAAGTTAACCTTGTTAAGCAAAGGAGATGAGGAAAGTAGGAGATTTGACTGTCTTAGTATAGATCCTAGTAGAACAATGAAAAATTGATTTTGCCTTGAGTAAAATATGCATTTGATTGGCTTAATAACATTTGAGATTTGCTAATTTCATTACAATTAATAGATTTTAATGTAAAATTTCACAAAATTGATTCAAATAGATGCATTGTCATAATTAGTAGGTGACTCACATTAGTATTGAGATATTTGAAAGTGTCTGCATAAGGGTTGATACATTCTTATTATTTATTGGCTTCATTCAAATATATCTTACAAGTTCTTAAGGTTTGAAACTCTTTGGAAAAGTTATAATTGAGTTGATTTATCATGTTTTTGTGGAAAAAATCAAGCTCAAGTAAAGAAAAAAATGTGTTTTATAAGTAAGAAAATCATTATTTTAACTGTAGAACTAACTTAAAATTTTTTTAGAGTCTGCCCCAAATTCTCCAAGAATTGGAAGTCCACTGAACCCAAAGAAAAATACTGAAACAAGTAATCTTCAAGCAATGTCTAGAGGTTTGTCTACCAGTTTGCCTGACTTGGACTCAGAACCTTGGATAAAAGTAAAAAAGAGACATTGTCCATCCCCAGTGAAACTGAAGGTAAGTTGTTATAACCCAAGTGAAGTGTGATATATCCTGAGTGGAATATAAGGCCCCTGTTTGTCAGGTATATATATAAAGTTTGAAAAGTTTAAAAAATTGTAAAGATTGGAACCATTGCCCTTCATTAAAACTTATGAGTTACTATATAACTGAAAATTATATTGTGTCAGTTTTTAAATTCATCCTTTATTTCTGAATATGATTTCAGAATGTTTTGACTTAATCTTTTGAGATTAGTTTAAATTTGAATATTATTTCTGCTTTTAAAGCTGACAAAATTTTTCTAAATTTTGAATTTAACTTTGCCGTATTATTTGTAACTTTGTTAATTATTTGTAAGGTTGTTTTACAAATATTTGTAGAAGATACATATCTGGTTTATATATGTTTTGGTGATTTTACAATAGGAAAAGAAGAGAATTGATTTATTGTGGGCACGTAAGGGAGTGAGACGCAGGTGGTTAGGAAGTAACAGGAGAGATCCTTTCGGTAGAGCTGCTGTGTTTTTGGCTGGTAGTTGGATACATGAACTTCCAAATGTGGTAAAAATTGCTCTGATCTAAATCACGAACACAAATGAGTACTGTAAAACTGGGGAAATCCTAGTTAAGATTGATGGGTTACACCAATATTTCTCCTGTTTGTGATATTCTACTATAGTTTTGCAATATGTTTACATTGAGGGGAAACTGGGTTAAAAAATAGACAAGATCTCCATTTCTTATACCTATGTGAATGTACAATTATCTCAAAAAGTTTACTAAAAAGAAACTTGGTAACAGTGCCACTCAAATAATTCAAATACTCAAAGTAAACTGTAAAAGGAGAAGACCACTAAAAATAATTGGGTCTAGATGTGGGAAGAATGAAGAAGGCTATCATATTGAAGATTATTATGAAAGAGCTCTTTATTCCTAAGGCTTAAGCGTGGAGAAAGAAAGCGTGAAGGATTTAGATTTAAGAGTGGTTCTCCTTTGGGGAAATGGAAGGTGTTAATATTTTGCCTCATCAGAGGATATTTGGCATTGGCTGGAGGCATTTTTGATTTTTAAAACTGAGAGAGTATTACTGTGTCTTGAGTGAATGCCAGGGATGCTGTTAGACTTCCTGCGGTGTACAGGACAACCCCGTAAACGTCTACCACATACATCCACACACTAAAGAATCAAGCCCAACATGTCAACATTTCTGAGTTTGAGAAACCCTGATCAAAGATGACTTTTTAACTAGCAATAGAAGTTAAACACGACATACTTTAATGTTACAAAAGATTTTCCTCTAGTCTTGTTTATTATTTATATAATTCCGTTTGCTTTCTACTTTCCAGAAAGGCATAAAACTTTCTAATCTTTTGATAGTTATACTTGTTTTCATATTGACATGGATTTATTCTTTTCATTACTGCAAATATGTATGCTCAGTCATCTTCAACCCAAAATCTCTTGTCTCTTCTTCACAAATTACAAAAAGTTTCATGTTTAAAAAATATATATATATATATATATATAAAACTGATATGTAAAAAGTAAAAGACTCTGTTCATGGTTTACCATTATTAACAGTTTGGTATTTCTTTATTCTCAGACTTTTTTCACATACTTACAAATGTGAATAACAAGATATATCATTTTTGTTTTTAAATATATTCACACTGTGTTAAAACTTCCTTTTTCTTTTTTTTTTTTAAGTAAAAACATCATGAACAGCCTTTTGTTTACTAGACTATTAGCTCCATCAGGACAGAGTTGTTGTTTTATTTTTTGCTGTATACCCCTGCCTAGAACAGTGCCCAGCTCTCACATAGTAAGGACCCAGATAATTATTAAATGAATATGGATCCACATGAACAGGAATTCTGAGAGAGAGGGATTATCTTATTTTAAGCCTAGGAGAGTTAGTATTTGCTGAAGGTTAAGGATATGACTGACGGTCAGAGGTTGGCAAGGGAAGATGACAACATTGAAAAATCTGTTTCCTTGTGTTGAGGGTTTGGGAACTCTAGGTTAGATTTTAGAGAATCTAGGATCTAAAAATTCAGACTTTTTATATCACCGAGTAGGAAATTACTCTAGAAAGGGTGGAAATTCAATAATTTGATGAGTGTTGGAGTGTATTTAACATGAAACTGAGCCACATTGAATGGACATGAGGATTGGGCAGCAAGGTTAGCTAGGAAACTATGATATTAATATAATTGTGAGGTAAAAAGGATCGAGTCTAGGGGAGATCATTGAATCTGAAAGTCAGACGACCTTGGTTGTTTTAGTTCAAATTCTGAAATTGTGGACAAATAATATCACATCTCTAGGCCTTTCTTTCCTCATCTGTAAAATGAGTTGATGTGCTGTAATGTATGAGCTAACTCCATTTTTAGTTCTAAAGGAGTCTTTTAATGTAGTCCTTTTATTCAACTTTGTGTTCTACTTTAGTCTTAAACTTAGTGTTTAGCAATTACTTCATATTTATTAGGCTAACTTGGTTTTCTTTTACAATTCGATTGTTAAACTAGTAATTGAACATACAATATTTTTTGTTTGTTTTCATATTCTTTTTCATTAAAGGTTATTATAAGATATTGAATATAGTTCCCTGTGCTACATACAGAAGAAACTTTTTAAAATCTATTTTTAAATATAGTGGCTAACATTTGTAATTCTCAAACTCCCAAATTTATCCCTTACCACCCTCTTTCCCCAATAACCATAAGATTATTTACTGTGTCTGTGAGTCTGTTTCTATTGTGTAGATGAGTTCATGGTGTGCTTTTTTTTTTAGATTCCACATATGAGTGATATCATGTGATATTTTTCTTTCTCTTTCTGGCTTACTTCACTTAGAATGATGATCTCTAGGTCGATCCATGTTGCTGCAAATGGCATTATTTTACTCTCTTTTATGGCTGAGTAGTACTCCATTGTATAAATATATCACAACTTCTTGATCCAGTCATCTGTCAGTGGACATTTAGGTTGCTTTCATGTTTTGCCTATTGTATATAGTGCTGCTGTAAACATTGGGGTGCGTGTATCTTTTCAATTTAGAGTTCCCTCCAGATATATACCCAGAAGTGGGATTGCTGGATCATATGGTAAGTCTATTTTTAGTTTTTTGAGGAATCTCAATACTGTTTTCCGTAATGGCTGCACCAAACTACATTCCCACCAGCTGTGTAGGTGAGCATACAATCTTAATATTTACTTTTAACATTGACATGTGACATTATTATAAAATTGGTAAAAATGTTTTTATGTAAAATACCAATTTCTTCCTTCAGGAATCACTGTCTCTACCTGAAGAGTCATCAAATCAGCTATATTCTCCAGATGAACAAGATCAAGAAGAACTTGATTTTTTATTTGATGAAGAGATGGAACAAACAGAAGGGCGAAAAAACACATTTACTGATTGGTCTGACAATGATTCAGATTATGAAATTGATGACCAGGATTTAAACAAGATTTTGATTGTAACTCAGACACCACCTTACATGAGAAAACATCCTGGAGGAGATCGAACAAGCAACCACATGTCTTGGGCAAAAATTACATCTGAACTTGCTAGAGTTATCAATGATGGCTTATATTATTATGAGCAGGATCTATGGATGGAAGAAGATGAAAACAAACACACAGCCATAAAGGTAATTGTTTCTGGCCAACATCTTTCTGTTGATACTATGTTCTGATTGCATGTTACTGCTTATGTTTTCCTAAACTTGAGGCTTTATTTTATGCAGTTTTGAATATAAATAAATTATATGTAAATTGAAAAATTCCTAGAAATACATCTTATAGTCACAACTTGAGAAATTATTTTATCAAGATGACAGTCAATAAATAATGCCAATAAAAATATTAGGACTCACTGATTAAAACTTTTGCTTTTTTCAAGGTGAAAAATAATAAGAAAGCTCTTCCTCATAAGAAGGAATAAAAACTGAAGCTATGGACAGGCTTAGTTTATATGCTCATTCCTTACCTGGCTATAATCACCCCAGCAATATAAGCAGAGCTTCAGAGAGGAGTTACTTTTGTTCCCCTTTCTGTCCTTCTCACCTTAGTCTGTGGTGCATGTTCTGTGGTAGTGGAACTGGTTGTTGATAAGTATAGAAGATTAAAGTTGCTGATTGCCTCTCCTTGTCCAATCATTACTGTGTTGCCAAGAGTGCAGTTAGAAGCCTTGTTCCAATTTTTATCTTTTTGTATTTCACCTCACATCCTGGTACCTATGCTGGCTGTTAAGGTAAAACATGAGAGTACCAGAGTAGTCTACTGGCTATCTGTATTCCTTTTATACAAATTTTAATGGTTACAGATAGGGATTAAAAAGAATCTTTATCTGCTGTTAAGTTGATCAGAAAACCCTTGAAAGTTAAATAATTTGTTTTGGGGATAGAATATTGGTGTGTGTGGGGGGAATTGTATAACTATAATAATGCCAAATAGGAAAGACATCTTGGTCAGAAAAAGTTACTATTCTAGAAAGAAAAGCCACCCACCTTGTGGTTGAACATGTCTGTCCATGAAGCTTCATAGCATCAAGAAGTGTGTTTTCCTTCTTGACTCTTCATTTCTTTTCTTCTTGAAATTTCCATCACTTTTTTCCTCTTTGGTCACTGCCTTTTTAGAGACTGTCAAGATATGGTAGTTTGTCAGTGACTTGGAGCCTGAGCAATGCTGTCCTACTGGTATGGGAAAGGAAGTGTGTTTTTATAAAATTTCTTCGTTGAAAGTCTTTCTTTGTGTAAGCATTTTTACTTTATTTATGATACTTAGATTCTGTAAGTGACATCGAACTTAAATCCTTTGGGCAACGGGAAAAATAGAAAATAAACTAACAATAGTTTTAAATTGTACTCCCTCCATTCCGTATCCATCTGCCTTACTTTGTTCTTTACCATCTACCGTTCTGTATATTGCACTCATTTATTTTCTGTTTTGGTCACTTGGAGGTAAGATATTTGAGGATACAGATTTTTGTCTTATTTTGTATACTACTGTATCTCCATTGCTAGGACAGTTTCTGGAACAAAGTAGTGCTCAGTTTATATTTGTTAAAATGGACAAATGAAGTATGGATTAAACATTATGAACTAACCAAAGGAACCTAACCTCTGTGTATAATACTAGTTCTGTGGTAAAATGTTTTCAGAGTTCCCAGTAACAAACTTTCAAGCCACCTTAAGAAATACATGCTGTTTGTAGGTGATTAAAGCAAATAATCACAAGGCACAAACCTATGGCCCAGCCAAAGTTGGGGATTCCAACAGGAGTCCTTTCCCATTAAATTGGTACTTAAGGAAATATACCCTTAGTGAAAGAGAATTTAACTTGCTTTCTCACCTACTCTTCTAAGAGGCTACAAAGCACATTTCCTTAGTTGTGCTGAGCAGAATAAGGAGAAAAAAAACTGGCTTAGAAGTTGTAATTGTGCAACCCAGCTTCACACTATTTGGGGTGACTAGAGTAACCACTAGTCATAAATGTTAAGTGATTGTGGCCTGTTAATTTCCCAGAAAGTAACAGAAGCAAATCTAGCTTTTGTGTGTGTGTGTGTGTGTGTGTGTGTGTGTGTGAAGACATTGACTTTCATTCTAGACCTCAGAAAATTTACTCAAATTGTTTTATAAGGAAAGTGAGCAGCTCTCAAAAGTTAATAATCAAACAAGGAAATAAAGTACCACATGTGAGAATAAGCAGAAGTAACAGAGAGGAAAACCTTACCTTCAAAAAATTTAGATAATGGGGTTATTAAACATAATATGGAGTAACAGTGCTTACTGTGTTTAAAGGAAAATATCTTCAGGGAAGAAGAAATTCTAGAAATCCTGAAATTAAAAACAGTGAAGGCTAAAATTAACTCAGTCAATTGAGGAGATTAACAACAGATTAGATACCATTAAAGAATCAGTGGATGACAGTTTACAAGAAATCAACGCAGAGAGACAAAGAGTTAGACTATATAAAAGAGGGTATAGAATGTATTCTAGACAGTCTTTGCTATTGTTTGGTATATTTCGAATCAAGTTGTATAATTTAACTTCTAGTGGATTTTATTATAAATCTTTTTATTTTTGAGAAAAGTGAAAAGCGACTGGAATATAGGATGGCAAACATAGTCTAAGGTATTTATTTGGCATTCTAGAAGGAAAGGAGAGGAAATTAGGCAGAGCCGGTATTTTAATAGCTAGGATCTTTTCTGAACTGTGGAGAGACAGTATCAACCTATACTTGTATGCCTTGCAAAAGTATATTTCAAGTAAGAGTGAAATATAATGAGAGAAATTGCAAGTAGCAGAACCTCATCAAACGAATTTCCAAAACTGGAATAAAAGTGGTTCCAGGTGCCAGAGATACAGAAAGGACTGAAGAGCAAAGCAGGTAATAAATAGGTGAATAATAGATCTAAATAAATCTTAATGGCATGAAACAATAATTATGTCTAACAGATCTAATATAACATTAATACAAATTGGAAGAAAGCAATGAATGAATAGTGTTTAAAGGTACTTTTGTGTCTGGAAAGAAGATAATTAATTTTAGTTTTTAAGGTTTTTGTTTTGTAGTTTGAAGGATACCCATTTAAAAATAAAATTAGAAAGAATAACCTTGAAACTAGGAGAAAGAGAAGATGTGAAATAAGACAAGAAAAAAGGAAAAAGAGGCTTCCAGCATAAAAATAAGGTGATAGATTGAAACCCAAATATTAAAATAGCAAAAATGAATAAATATTGTCAGAATTCATATGTAGATACAACTAGTTATTTATGTGTGACACATCAAAATACAAGGAAGACAAAAGATTGAAAGTGAAAGATTGGAGAAATACATACCATAAAATAGTAACAAATCAAAATCAGTATATAGGTTCAGTGTAGTCCCTGTCAATATCCCCACTAGCTTCTTTCCTTAAATTGACATACTAATCTGAAATTCATATGAACATTCAAGGGACACAGACTAGCCAAAACAATCTTGAAAAAGAACAAAATTAAAGGATTCATATACAGTATTAATGACTAGTATATATTAAGACAGAGTTGAGCCTACTATAATGATAGACATACAGATCAGTGGAAGAGAATTGAAAGTCAGGAAATAAACCCATGTGTCTGTGATCAACTGACTTCCAGTAAAGGAGCCTAAACCATTTAATAGAGGAAGAATAGTCTTTTCAACAAGTGGTATTAGGACAAGTAGATGTCCACATGCAAAACTCTTAACTCACCATACACAGAAATTAACTCAAGATATTCCACATCATATATCATCAGAGAAGTGCAAGTGAAAAGAACAGCGTATCACTATACCTCTATTAGAACGGACAAAATCCAGAACACTAAATACTGGTGAGAATGTGGAGCATGGGGAATTCTCATTCATTGTTGGTAAGAATGCAAAATGATACAGCCACCTTGGAAGACAGTTTGGAAGTTTCTTATAAAACTAAACATACTCTTATCATACAATCTAGCAATCACCCTCTGTTGTACTTACCCAAAGAAGCTGGAAACTTATGTCCACACAAAAACCTGTACTTGGATATTTATAGCAGTTTTATTCAGAATTTCTAAAATTTGGAAGCAATCAGGATGTCCTTCAGTAGGCAAATGGATAAATAAACTGTGGTATATCAAGACAATAGAATAATAGTGTTAAAAAGAAACGAGTGATCAAACAATGAAAAGATGTGGAGGAACCTTAAATGCATATACATTAAGTGAAAAGATCCATCTGAAAAGGCTACATACTATATGATTCCAACTATTTGACATTCTGGAAAAGGAAAATGAAAGGAGATAATAAATAAAAAAAATTAGTGGTTTCTAGAGGTGGCGGAGGGTGGGAGTTGGTGAATAGGCAGAGCAGAGAGGATTTTAGAGCAGTGAGAAGTATTTTGTATAACATAATGATAGATATATGTCACTAAACATATATCAAAACCCATAGGAAGTACAATACTAAGAGTGAAAGCTATGTAACTATGGACTTTTGGTGATGATGATGTGTCATTGTAGGTTCATAGATTGTAACAAATGTAACACTTGGTGCAGGATGCTGATAGTGGGGAGGCTGTGGTGTTGGGGAAACTAGATATCCACATACAAGAGAATGACAATGGATCCTTTAACACCATATGCCAAAAAAATTTAATAGATTATAAAGACTTCAGCCTAAAACCTAAAACTCCTGGAAGAAAATATAGGTGTGAAGTTTCATGACATTTGATTTGACAGTGATTTCTCAGTTGTGACACCAATGGCACATGTATAAAAACAAACGGACAAGTTGGAATTCATGAAAATCAAAAACTTACATGTATTAATGGACACAAAACAGGGTGAAAAGGCAGCCTGCAAAATAGGGCAAAATATTTGCTTATCATAACCAATAAACAGTTGATATTCTCAAATATATAAAAAAATCAAACAGCTCAACAAAATAGTTGAAGTAAAAACTTGCTATGTAAATAGAAAATCCAAAAGTATCCTATGAATGAGTGATTAGAATTCATAGTGCTTAATAAGTTTTTTAGGCGGTTTTGAAAATTCAGACAATGTCTGCATAGCAGCAGTTAGTTGGAAATAGTAACTTACAAGATTTCATTTTCTGATAGTATAAAACAACCAGAAAAGATCTA